ACTTTATACCCTTGTTTCTCCACTCCTGCCCAGCCCCCACTTTCCTTACACTCATTTCTGCACCTGATCTAGACATGCAGAACTGCCTTGAAACAGTCTCGGCTATTACAGAAGAAAGACACTGGTAATACTAAGAAGAAGGTTCTTTTTAAGTGGCCTCTCTCCTCAGTGTATGGGAACACATAGCTCCTCCCTAAGGCTTGGGCCAAAATTGTTGCTTTTCTGTTTTGGGTTTTTGCTGTTGGTTTTGGTTTTGGGTTTTGTTTTTTTGTTTTTGTTTTTGTTTTTTGCCTTATTTCTTGTCTCTTTCAAGAAGAACCAGGTTTGGGGCACCTGGATGGCTCAGTCATTAAGCATCTGCCTTCGGCTAAGGTTATGATCCCAGGGTCCTGGGATCCAGCCCAACAGGCTCCCAGCTCAGCCAGAAGCCTGCTTCTCCCTCTCCCACTCCCCCTGCTTGTGTTCCCTTTCTCACTGTGTCTCTCTCTCCCAAATAAATGAATAAAATCTTAAAAAAAAAAAAAAAAAAAAAGAAGAAGAAGAAGAAGAAGACGAAGAACCACCAGGTTGGTAGATAGCCACACTGTGTCTATCCCTCATCCCCCATCAACCCCTGGTGTATACATTCATCACTCTCTTCCTCTTATCCCAGTCTGTTTTCTCTCTTATTTTAATGTGGAGAATAACTACACCCTAGAATGTGAAGGCAAGAGGACCCTAATTTAAGATGGTGAGGGAAGATCTGGATAACAAGGAGCATGTTTATAACAGAGTTGTATATGTCCTGGGCTGTTGCTATTAAGAGGCTTTGCCCTCATAAACTCTGTGTTGTAAATGGCAGAAGACTTCTTCAGTTTTATTGCAAACAATTGGATCAGGCCCTGGGATACTTCCACATGTACTCTTTCCCTTTCTTTTCCTAAAATTTTCACCCCACCAAGTTATGCCCCTACACCAACCACCAAAATTATGCTTTGCAGGATGCCTGGGTGGCTCAGTCAGTTAAGCGGCTGACTTCGGCTCAGGCCATGATCCCAGAGTCCTGGGATCGAGTCCTGCATCGGGCTCCTTACTCCGCAGGGAGCCTGCTTCTCTCTCCACCTCTGCCTGCCACTCTGCCTGCTTGTGTGTGCTCTGACAAATAAATAAATAAAATCTCAAAAAAAAAATTATGTTTTGCACCCCCCCCCTTCACTAGTGCCCCAACCATGCCAACATGCCTTTGGAAAATCTGACAGGAGGTAAGAATTCAATGTTCCTGCCCAAGACTTGTAGATCCTCTTGGGGTTGGGTCTCAGGTGTTACAGAAGGATGGAAATGGTGACAGCCTAATATGGTTAGCAGCAAATACCATGACATTTGAGTCAGAACTGATGGATGAGGGGTGCCAGGATGGCTCAGTCAGTTAAGTGTTTGCCTTCAGCTCTGGTCATGATCCTGGGGTCCTGGGATGGAGCCCCACATCTGTCAGGCTCCCTGCTCAGTGAGGAGTCTGCTTCTCCCTCTCCCTCTGCACCATCCCTTCCCCTACTTGTGCTCACTCTCTCCCTCAAATAAATAAAATAAAATAACTGATGAAAATCTCCCAGGCTTTCTGTCTTTCACCTGTCTGGAGTCTGGAGTCTGCTCCAGCATCACTGGGTGTTTTCCATTGAGCAAAGAAGAGGAGCAGAGATAGCAGAGGTGCTGCCTAGTTGGCAATAAGCCAACCACTGCCACTCCCCAGCTTCCCAGCCACTTGAAAGGCTAAGGGAAAAGAGCTCATCCAGAGCTGAAAGAGGCCCAGAGGCCTCATCAGTCCTTCTCCCTCCCTCTGTCAGTGGAGCTAAGTAAAAGGTGAAATTGTAGCCACCCGCTCTGTGGGTTGCACACTCCCACTCTCGTCACTGACCCCAGGCCTGGGTCTGAGCCCAGCACGTGTGCCGGGAGCAGGGGTGGGGGGTGTTGGCCTTGCTGACAAAATCCATTTGGAATTTCTCAAGGTTGTGGTTTGGGGCTTAAGTTTGCCACAGAGTGTGTCTGACGAAAGAGAAAGCTAGAAAGAGAGGGAGCCAAAGGGAATACAGAGGAAGGAAACAGGAAAAAGCTGAAATATTCTTGCTGTAATGCCATTGGAAAAATGAGAAATTCCCATTCTGGTTGTTCCTTATCATTATTCTCTCTCATATCCTTTGCCCATTCTAGCTGTATCCCCTCTCTGCCCCATACACACCAGGTTTAGTCAGTGACTGAAGTAAGAATGAGATATCTTCCCGCTTCCATCAGATTTCCAAGTCCAGGACTCTTAAGTGGAAATTCAGGACATAAGATTATGCCATAAAATACTGGCCTAACCCAACATTCCTCAAAATGCCCTTGCCACCTGAGTAGCAAAATCACCTGATTTTGAGGGTAATTTGGGTAGCAGATATACCTATTGCCTAGAGAAATAGAGAAAACCATTTCTACATTCCACGGCCAAAGAGATGACCTGTTAGAGGCAGCATCTCGCAAACCCATAAACATTTAGTCACTTGTAAAGTTCTGAATGTGTGATGCCTGTCCCTTTTCTGAATTGAATGATAATGCTTTTCAAAGATACTGGGGTAGGAATAGACTATAATTGTTTAAAAATCTGTTTTCTCTAGTTTTGGTTATCTCCTAAAAGATAAAGGAATTATTTTGCTAAGATTAAATGCAGAAGAGCTCTGAATAAGGAAGGACAAAATACATATGCAAATAATTCAGTAGGAAAGCATGCTGGTTTTGCTGGTTTCCAGAGCAATACACTCCCTTTCTGAGCTCCGGAATCTCTTTTATATGTGTCCCATTAGTCTTATATCCCCCTCCCAAGTTCTCTGATTTGGAGCCATAAAGAAAAGCACCTGCTCTTTTGGGTCCAGGCTTAATGTTGAGATCCGCTCAGGACTTGAAATCTCCAGAGCAGAGGTAACCACATGCTGTAGGCAGGGGTCAACAAAGTACAGCCAGAGAACCTAATCTCACCCAAAATCGGGTTCTGTGAATTAAGCCTTATTGGACACAGCCACACCCATTTGTTTATGTGTGGTCTATGGCTACTTCTGATTCACAACAACAGAGTTAAGTAATTATGGCAGAGTTGAGTAGTTGCAACAAACCCCACAAGCTTAACACAGCTGACCCTTGAATGACACAGGTTTGAACTGTGCAGGTCCACTTAATACGTAGATTTTTAAATACCATACACTACTGTAAATGTGTTTCATCTTCCTTATGATTTTTATTTTTTTTTATTTTTTTAAAAAGATTTTATTTATTTAGGGACACCTGGGTGGCTCAGTAGGTTAAGCAGCTGCCTTCAGCTCAGGTCATGATCCCAGCGTCCTGGGATCGAGTCCCACATTGGGCTCCTTGCTCCTCAGGGAGCCTGCTTCTCCCTCTGCCTCTGCCTGCCATTCTGTCTGCCTGTGCTCGCTCTCTCTCCCTCTCTCTCTCTGACAAATAAATAAAATCTTTTAAAAAAATTAAAAAAAAAAGATTTTATTTATTTATTTGACAGCGAGAGAGGGAACACAAGCAGGGGAAGTGAGGGAGGGAGAAGCAGGTTTCCCACCGAGCAGGTAGCCCAATGCCAGGCTGGATCCCAGGTCCCCAGGATGATGACCCGAGGTGAAGGCAGACACCCAACTGACTGAGCCACCCAGGCGCCCCTTCCTTATGATTTTTAATAACATTTTTTTCTTTAATTTATTTTCTTGTAAGTACACAGTATATAAAACACGTGGCATACAAAGTATGTGTTAATCTGTTAATGGACTGTTTCTGTTATTGGTAAGGTCAACAGTAGGCTATAAGTAGTTACGTTTTGGGAGACTCAAAAGTTACATACAGATTTTTGACTGCTTAGGTAGTGGGGACGCCCCCAAACCCCGGATGTTGTTTAAGGGTCAACTGTTTACTCACTATCAAGCCCTCTACAGGTAAAAGAAAAAATGCCAACCCTCATTCTAGGGCAAGGACCAAGGTGAAGTCTGGAGTTGAAGCACGTAAAAAGTAAATTGGGCCTATGTTTGGATATCCAGCCCCCACCCCCAACCTCGAAGTACCCTCTGGTTTTTCACAGAGAGAGATGCCAACTGAATCACTGAGGACCATTTCAAATCCTTTGTGGAACTAGGCAGGATACATGTAAATAAAGTCATTGGGTGTATGAGGGTAGAATTCACCTGGAAAAGAAGCGATGGACTCGGATCACAAGTGTGGGCAGAAATAGAACCACCTGAAGCCACTGGTCCAGTAGTTTAATTTATTTTAGTTATAGACAGAAACCAAGAACAAGTCTCAGTACAATAAATTATCCATTCCCATCCCTCCTGCTAAGGAACAAATAAAAGGCTCAGAGAGTCTTAGGTAAAATTCTTCCTTTGGAGGGTTTCCTTTAACATCTGAATGGGGGAGACCGTTTTCCTAAGGGCCTAGACAAACAACTCTCTGAGGACTCAAGGGAGAGCCCTCCTCCAGCACTCTGTCCCTTCCCCAAGAAAAACCTCTCTACCACTGTCTCCTATTCCCTCACAGGAAGGCGCCCAGGCTGCTGTAGAGGAGTTTGGGATCAGCAGACAGGAAGGAGTGGTATCCCCGATACAGGTCTATGGCTCCACACAATGCCTGGGGCTATTCCTCAAAGGAGAGGAGTGGTCAAACTACAAGGACACCCCAGCCAGAAGGAGTAAGAACCAGAGCTAAAGGGACTGACTCCAGGATTGGGGAGAGGGAGGCAATACAGTGCATGTAGTCTTCGTTCATTTCAGCTGTTTCAGGAGCAGAAGAAGGGGGTGACAGCTTTCCCGCCCAGGCCCTCCTACTGTGGGGGAGAAGGCTGCACGTCACAGACTCTGCCTGACCCCCACCACCCCCAGAGCTGCTTCCAGGCCAGTGCTTTGAGCTTCTAGGAGCTGATATTGACCCTGGCCAGAAATCGGAGCAAAAGGCTGAAAAGGCGCTCCTGCCCTCTGCCAGCCCTGCGGTGAAGCTGCCCCTCACTTACACACGTTGACCCACTCTGTGACCTTGCACTCGTCGCACAGCACGTAGCAGCACCAATGGAAGCGGCAATGACAGCGCTCAACTCGCGTCTGCCGAAGCATATTGTGCCCACGGCCGCAGCACAGGCTGCCGCAGCCGTCCAGCAGACGACTGGTCTTGTTGCATGCCCGGCCCCGAGTGCCGGGGGAGCCCACAGTAGGGTCTCGCTCACAGAAGTCGGGAGACTTCTCAAAGTAAACCAGCTCTCCAGAAAGGCGACGGGGACGCAGGCGGGGTTGGAAGGCTCCGGAGTTGCGGTTGTGGGTATCGATGAAGATGGCCCGACCCAGCCGCTCCCTCAGCGCTGCCCCCACCGCCCGGAACTCTGGGGCCGCCCTCCAGCAGGTCTTGAACTGGCAGCTGCCCGACGTGCCGTGACACTTGCATTTCCGCTTCAGGTTTTCAGTTACCACCTAGAGCGCGGAGGGTGGAGGTGGGGGTGGGGTGGGAGAGGTGAAGGGGAGGGCAGCAAAGGGGCAGGGCACCAGGGCACAGCAGAGGGGAGGGAACAGAGAGCACAGGGAGGGAGAAATAGAGGCGAGAATGATCATGGAATATCAGAAGAGAAAGGGCACTGCAGGGCTGGCTAACAGCTCAACTCCCTCATCTTCTGGTTGGAGGACTGAAGGCAGAGCAGAATGATTTGCCCATTTTAATCCCTAGCTGGGAACAGAGACTCAGCTTAGACAGCTAGATGTGAACAGAACTCAACTCCAGTTGTCCTGAGTCGCCATCCAGTCCTCCTTCCAGAGCGAGCACTAAAAATGAGCACCCTTCCCGTAGGAAGGCAGCTGTGATAATAGCTACCCTGTAATGAGCACCTGCCAAGGACTAGGCACTCTGCCCAGTGCCCTATTTGCTAGCTCACTCTTAATCACATCGTTAAGGTGGGTATCATTAGATTCTTTTTACAGATGCAAAACTGAGGTTAAGTGACTTGCTTGAGGTCACCCAGATGGGTGAGCGACCATCCCCCACCGCGGCCCATTCTCTTTTCTGCCTGCGGTGCCTCTCCCTTTCTAGTCAGGCCTCAAAAGCTAAGGAGACTCAGGACAAGTTGCACACACATACCTGTCGCCCCACCCTGTTGTTGTGGATTCGCATTCTTGCCTGGATGTCCCGGGGAGCTTCCCTGGAATCCAAGAAATCCCGAGAGAACTTCTCTCCAAAGTCCATGTCCTGGTTACAGCCACCCCATTCCCACGTGTCCTGGGGGCTGGGGCTGGGACCTAAGCCGGGGCCAGGGCTGGGCAGGGAGTGGGGGAAAGTCTTGCCCCGGGACAGAGCCTGCAGCTGCAGCAGCTTGGCCCTCAGCCGGTCCTGCTCACCACTGCCCTTCCAGCCGCAGCCGCAGCTTGCTAGCCTGCCCAGGCTGCAGGCCGTGGCGACCGCATGCATGACCCCTGCCGCCAGCATGGAGAAGGAAAAAGCACTCTCCCGAAAACCTGGGGATGAAAAGGGTGTGACGGAGGCATAAGGTTGACAGGCAGCTGGAGTGGGGAGGTGGAAGGAAATAAGCAGCCACCCTTCAATTCCGGGAATTCCTAACTGAATCCTGACCCTGTCATTTACCAGCTGCATAATTTGGGAGAAAGTCACAGAGAAGGAAGGGAGCGGAAGCACGGAGCCTCAGTTTCCTCATTTATTAAGGGAGGGGCTGGCTGAGATTGATCTCTGAGCCCCATCCTGGTTCTGTAAGTCTGGGATTTTCGGGTACAGATGAAAGAACTAGCTAGAGGGCAAGAGCCCTGGGGTTGGCAGGTGACTGAGAGGGAGTCCCCGAGGTCTTTGAAGAAGTGATCACTGAGTTCTACATCTGAAAGCTTTAAAAATTCCCCAGCCCAGCAGGGAGCTTGGGTGGTGGGGGGGGAAGCAGAAACTTTCAGGTTCTTTTTTTTTTTTTTTTTTCTTTAGAGCCCTTTAACAAACCTTGCTCCACCACCCCAAAACCCCAAAGCATTGGAGCTATGGCACTATCCTTCCCCTTTCCAGTTTCTGGTTTACTATTTGCCCTTTAAGACTGCCCTTTATGTTTATTCTAACCTGCTATATTACTCTATAAAATGCTGGTGGGGGGGAGATGGGTGCGGGGTGATTTTCCCTGAGGTCCTCTTAAAATGTTGCCGTCTTTGTTATGTTTTGGGGGTCACAGAGGCTCAAGATGACAAGCTTTTCCCATGCTTCTCATTTGGGGGGGTCCCTTACTTCCTTTTAGGTAGGGGCTTTCTTGAGCCCTGAGAGGATGAGACACAGCACCTCCTTAGGGGCCGGGCCTCTCCCACCCCAGGATGCAGGGTTTTTGGCCCAGCCTCCCAATCCCCCCCAACCTCAACCCTCCAGGGGTGAAGCTGTTTGCACATGTCTTGGGAATTCCCCCGCAGATGGCAGCTGCCTATTAACCCCATAGTCCCTGAAGTACTGCCCCCACCCTCTAGCTGAGCCCAGAATGGATCTTTACTCCTCCAGGGAGGAAACACGGGCATGGCCTGGCAAGAGGCAACGATGCCTTCCAGACCATACCTCCCAGACCAGACCAGCAGTGACCTGTTCTTCGCCCCTCCAGCCGTTCCTCACCTGCTCAGGTGAGAGCCACCTGGGGCCCCCACAGCACAGAGGAGGGGGCTGCTCCCCGGCTTCAAAGCCATCAGGGTCTTTGTTCCCAGCCTCTGCTCCTGGGAACCCCAGCAATTAGGGGAGTAGGTTTAACCCTTAAACGGTTGGGGGCGTCACCCCACCCCCGCTGAGGCTCTGGGGACACCAGCCTGGGCTTGTCCAAGGAGAGGGAGGGGGGAGGAAATTGGGGGAGGGAATGGGGGGGATGTTTGAAGCTTCCAGGGCTGGGGGCATCTCTGGCTCGCAGGTGCAACCCAGATCGAGCCCGGTGGAGAAGGAAAGGGGGGCCCTAGGTAAGAGAACAGCGACCCAGCTGCCTTGCCTGCAGCACGCAGGTGGAAGTGAGGAAGGGACCCGGACGGGTGGCCAGGCCCACTCTGTGGCTCCCGGGTGTGTGTGTGGGGGGGAATTCCCGAAGAGAGGCCCCTCCTGGAGTCGTGAACCGGTCCCTTCCCGCCTCCGCTCGCCTCGGCCTGGCCCCCACCCCCGGCCCCAGCGGCGCAGACCAGCCGGCCCCGCTCACCGCGCTTGAGGATGGCGCTGTGGTGCGGCAGGCGGCCGCCGCCCTCGAGCGCGGAGCAGTTCCAGCGCTGGTCGCGCAGCTGGTGCTGACACTCGTGGACCGCGATGTGCAGGCCCTGAAGCGCGGATGCCGTCACGTCGGGGCTGCGCAGGCAGAGGCCCAGCTGCCTCTTGCTCAGGCCCGACAGCGTCAAGCACACGGTGTTGGCGGTCAGCGGCGGCTCGCCGGGCAGCTTCAGGCCCAGAATCTCATTGCTGAAGGCCCTGGGAACGCAGAAGGCGTTTCGGGGGTCTGTGGTCCAGGCCTCGCGCCCCCTCCGACTCCTCCCGTCCTAGGTCGGTGCTTTCGGCCTCCGGCTTTTTTTCGTGGCCAGGGCGACAGGGGGGATCTGCTCACCGACTGCACAACGCCAGGAACAGGAGACCCGCGAAGCCCGAGGGCGGAGGCCGCGGCCGGGGCTCCTCCGGCATGTCGAAGCCCGGGCCCGAAGGCCCCGGTGGGCAGATCGATCAGGGCCTGCGGGACAGGGAGACTTGGGGGCTTCGGAATAGGGTGGGCTGACCCGGGGTAACCAAGGATTCCTAACTCACCAGTGCGCTCTAGGAACCCTTCTCATCCCTCCCCAAGCAAAACAAGAAGAATCACCCTGACTCTGGACCCTGGAGGAAGAGTCTGGTTGTCGCAGCTGGGGCTTAGTCAAGAGCCACTGGAGCTGGACCCAGCCAGACACAATGCCCGGCACACAGACACACTCAAGTGCAAACTCAGACATAACTGACTCACAAACACCACTCCACCATCTTGCCACCGCTCCCTCTTTGAGGGCCCCACAACTGGCTTCCCTCACCCAACAGAGCGACGCTCTCAGGGCTAGGGGGCGGGATTGGGGGGGCGGGATTAGAACGAGGTTCTGCACCACCTACAGATGGCCGGGTGTGGGGGAGGGTCACCTTCAGCTGCCGTCGAGGGCAGGCAGCGTTGGTGAGAGGGGTGGAGGAATGGGTTCCCAATCCTGCTCTACCCACTTTTTCCACAGTCGGGAGAGAGGGGAGTCTCCAGGTGCGCCAGACAGGGAGGAGAACTGGTTCCCGCCTGAAAAGGACCGCGGCACAGGCTGAGTCCTCTTCCTCCTCGTCCACCTTTCCTAACTAATGTTTCCCTTGTCTGCGATGCCCGTCTGGTCCCCTCGGGTCCCAGGCTCGTTCCCCCACCCCTTTACTCCCTCGTTCAATGCCATTCGGATCTGGGGATATTCCTTTATTTGCTGTCTTTATCTCTGCCAATATCCCTGGCTCTCTCTGTGTCTCCATGCCCCAGTGGGCGGATGCGTGTCTGTCTGTCTGTCTGACTATCTGACTATCCGTGTGCCTGTCTCGCCCCGTGTGCATGTCCCTGCCCTCCCTGCTTTCCCGGCTCCGATTACCTGCTGCTCTGGTGCGAGGTGACTACCGGCAAGGTTGGGTCGCCTGTGCTCCGGCTTCTCAAACCGTGGGGATACTGCGTCGGGTTCTGCCCCTTCGGCAGAGCCGCATTCTTCCAGGGCAGGGCCACTCCTCTTCGCTGCTTCCCCAGCGCCGCCGCAGCCGCCGGGAGGAAGGGAGGGAGGAAGGGAGGGAGTGATCGAGAAAGCTACCGAGCGGTCTAGCAAGGAACTGGGGGCTCCGGCTCCACTCAACTCGTGCCGAGCTCATAGGCAGCTCTGCTGTGGCTGACAGAGCTGCGGCCCCTCCCCAAGCCCCGGGCATCCCCACCCCACTCCTCGCACCCCCCGCCTTGACCCGGGGAGCGCAGGCGCTCCCCCTCCTCCCAGCCTACACACACACCCTCTCCCCCGACGCCTGGGTTCACGCTTGGCCCCACTGAAGGGGGTGGTGACCAGAGTGCCTCTTACCTGCTCTGGGTAGCCAAGTCTGCAAGGACGGTGCAGTGACCCAGACTAGGGAGACAGGACCCTGGTCTCGCGTGGTCATTTCTCTTTGCCTCAGTTTCCCCACCGAGAGCTGGATGGCTGGTGAGTGCCTTTGACAAGATGAACACGGAGCAGGGAATCAGCTTCCCTCCCTGGACAATGTTGGGAAGAGCCCTCAGCGACAGAGCGCGCCTCAGGGCACTCAGAGCCAGCAGGAAAAGATCCCTTCTGGGTGGCTTGGCCTCCACCCACCTCTGAGCTCTGCGCCTGCCCCTTGGGAGGGGTCAGACTTGGCCTCAGAGTTCGGTCCTAGCAGAGGCTCGGGTAGCCCCAAAGATCTCCAGCTTTCTCCTATGCTTCCCTTGGCTTATAGGCATCCTTGCCCAGAGAGTTCTCCTGCCCCATCCCGAGATCCCAGCTCTGCACTAGGAGTGGCCCAGATTCTTGCTCCAGGCTTTCAGACTTGCTTCACATGGAACGAGGAGGGCCTTGGGATCCCAGACTGAGCCCAGCCTGAGGACAGCCAGGGAAAGTGTCTGATCTAGGGGTGCACAGACCAGAGCAAACCACCTTAGGGAGCTCCAGTGGCAGTGAAGGGGTTAGGCGCCACTGCGCTCCTGCCTGACTCACCCTCCCAGCTCTAACCACTGCGGGCTATTTTTGCCAGAGAGGGGCCCCAGGCTTCCCAGCCGCCCCCCGCCCCTGCCAGACCGCAGCCCAAGGCACGACTGGCCCCGCGCGCCCAAAGCTGGCACGTTGACTCAGAGACAGGCCCCCTGGGGAAGCAGAGCCACGGGGCCCGAAACCCACAGCCACAGTCATCTCTTCCTTGGTGGTGGCCTTGCAGCTCTTCTGAGGGCAGTCAGCCTCCGGCCTATGCTGCTGCAGGGCCTGCCCTGTGCTGCAGGGGGCGCTGCTGTCTAGGGGGCAGAGCAACCGGAGATCAGTGACTTTCATCTGTGGTCATATTATTTATTGACCACCTTTATGCACCAGGTCTCCAGCGGTCTGGGGGGTAAAAAAGTGCCATGGTTCCTAACACTGGACAGCTCTGGTTGCTCTTCTTTGCTTTCTCACCTCTGGGGGCAGGGGAGGAAGAGAAATAGCCCTAGAACTCCTGCCTCTCCTTCCTGTTCAGATGCCATGACCCACATCATGTGTGGCTTTTGAGGCCACCAGAGTCTGCAAGCTCTATCTCAGTAGCTTTCATCCTTACACCTGGATTCAGTGACCTTGTCCTCCTTCCTGCATGTCAGCCTGGGACTCCACTCAGTTCCCCAGAGGAAGGGGATGAGATTTCCTACGCCTCTCTTCTCCCATGGGCATTTATATTTTCCCAGGTCTCTGGTTTTTTGTATTTCTCTCAGGTTTCTGATTGTTACTTCTGATTCTACCCTTGTCAGGCTATAGAACAGTCAGGTGTCAAGGAAGACCCAAGGTCAGAACAATTACCCTAGACTCCAACTTCTCTGTGGCTCCAGGGCTCCCCAGGCTGGTCTGTCCCAAATCCAAGGACCCACACTCCTGTTCCCTCTCCTTGCAAAAGCCCAGCTCTGGGACAGGAGGCCACAGGCAGGCAGACTGGGTGGCCTGAACTGGCCCCCAGTGCCCTTGGCCCGACCGGCTGGCCTGAGCACTGACCCGCAGGCGGCTGGAGGGTGGTGGAGCAGGCGGGGTCTGGAGAGGGCTGTGGGTACACACCCATTGCCTAATACCCCAAGCACGCGGCCAGCTCCAGGAAAGGGGAGGGGCGGGAACCAGAGAGACCTTGACAGGGGTTGGGGCCATGACAGGAGGGGGAAAGTGAGGGGCTGTCATTATTTTGGGGAGGGAGTGGGAGCAAGCTGGTCCCCCTTCCCCTCATTGAGAAGATTGGAGGCTGCTTTCCAACCATGGGGATGTAGCAAGAACAATCTGGGAAGAACACTGGGGCCCTGCAGGGCGGGGGTCAAAGAAAAGAGTGGGGGCCCTGGGAGATTGGGGGAATAGAGCAACTGAGGCGGCTAGAGAGCAGAGCAAAGGCTCGGAAGCCTCCTCCTCCCCTCATGTTTGCCTTGGCCCGGGGTCCCGGCTGACTCATCTATTGCTGAGCCGCTGATAGGGGCGGCCAAGCTCGGGGAACCCAAATTATAGGCCTGGGAGGGATGGATGCGCCCTGGCGGTGAGCTAAGCGGCACTGCCCACCCTCCGCCTCTCACGCCTTCTGCTGCAGCACCGTGGGCCACCACCCGGAGGCACCAAAGAGTCCGCAGCCCCACTGCACTGGACTCCCTGGGGAAACCCCCAACAGTTGAACAGTTAGCCCCAACAAATCTGTGGGATTACCATAGACAGAACTTGGCTCCCTTCTCTACCAGAGGCTGATGCCTTCCCAGCACGAGGAGGCAGTGCCGCCTGCTGGTGCTTCAAAGGAAGGTAGGCCCCTCTGCCCACAGATTCTCAGCCCTGGTTCCCTGACTCCCCCTCGCACTCCCAACAACAAGGTAAAGCCCCTTTCCCCTTCGACATCTTGCTCCTGTTCCCATTCCAGAGAGGTGGTTTGCTACTGATTTTCTACTTTGAGCCTTTAAAGTTCTCCATGGTCAAAAGTGGTAGAAAAATAGAGCAAGGTAAAGCAGACAGGTAGCAGGATTCCATTTTATATAGGGAGAATGACAAAGAAAGTGAGGGAACCATTCCATGGAGCTATCTGAGAAAGGGTCTTCCACAGAAAAGCAGGTGCAAGGATCCCAAGACAGGAACTTGCTTGGTATGTTCAGGGAATCAGCAAGTAGGCCAGTGTGGCCAAAGGGAGGAACCCACAGGGGAGAGAGTGCAGGCAGTGAAGTTAGAGGACGAGGAAGGAGAAGGGTCAGATCATAGATGGCCACGTAGGTCACTGTAAAAAGCTCACCTTTTTTCTTTGACTGAGATAGGGAATCATTGGAAAATTCTGAGCAGAGCAATGAAGCGATCTGACTTGGGTTTTAGAAAGCATGGCTCTGGCTGCTATGTGGAGAAGAGAGTGTGGAGGGCAAAGGTAGGAGCAGGGAGCGCTGCCATGAGGCCAGTGCAGTAGTACAAGAGAGAGGGGATGGTGGCTTTGCCCAAGGGTAGGAATGGGTCCAAGTTTGCACATATTTTAAATACAGAAGGACAGGATTTGTCCATGAACTTGACATGAAGTACTAGAGAACAGATGCATCAAGGATGACTCTAAGGTTCTTGTCCTGAGAAACCAAAAGGATGGAGGTGCCATTTACTGAAATGGGATGACCAAAGAAAGAGCAGGTTAGGATGGGGGAAGAACCAGGCATTCGAGTTTTGACCATGTACATTTTGAGATGCTTATTGTGCTAGATGTGCAAGTCCAGAGTTCAGGGCTAGATGTATAAATTAGGGAGCGTGAGACTGAATAGTTCACCAAGAGAGTGAGTGTAGATTGAGAACAAAGTCCAGATTGAATTGGGGAACATTCTGAAGCTTAGAAATTGGTATACAGGGTGGAATCAGATAAGGAGACTGAGATGGTGAGCAGCTAGGGAGGTAGGAATGGTGTTCTAGAACCCAAGTGAGAAAGAA